CAATCCATAAAACAAGAATGTCAACCAAGAACAAGTGCAAAAATAGATTATACCTTACTTGATGATCAAATCCTTCCAAGATCTTGTAGTTCCTCTTTGATTTGAGTTGAATCAAGTCTATGTGTGTGAAAATCGCACCTCTGGTGTGTGTGTGAGTTCTGGACTTATACATGAAAAAAATGGGCCAAAACTCCAATTTATGATGCTAAAACTCGAGTTGGGCCCGGTTGGCCCGACTAGGTACCCATTTTGACCATCAACACTTAAAATATTCATAACTTTTCGCTCGGAACTCCGTTTTCTATGAGGCTTTCGCCTACACGCTCATAAAGAGATAATCTATAACATCCAACAAAAAAATTCTAAAAAAGATCTCCCAAAAATCCATTTTACGTATCCATTTGACGTGATATTTTCCAAATCCTCTAATATATTCTTAAGAAATAAAATTCTAAAACTTCAAACCTAAACTCCCACTAAATCATAAATTCTCTTTAACCCAATAATTAAATATACTAAGCAAATAATTGGGCATATTAGAAATTGGATGTTACAAATACCTCCTCCTTTTGAGGATTTCATCCCCGAAATCACTGTTGTGGAAATAAAGAAGGGTATTTCGCCTTCATCTCATTTTTACGCTCCCACGTCCAATTTGGTCCCCGATGGTTTTTCCACTTGATCAATACCAAGTCTACTTCCTTATTACATAGTTTCATTTTTCTCTCGTTCAGAATGGATTCTGGTTCTTTAATGTATCTTAATTTCTCGTCTACTTTGACTTCGGCTAAGGGTACCGTCTCTTCATGTTTACCCAAGCATTTACGTAAGTACCCGACATGAAACATATCGTGTATCCCCGTAAGTTCCTCCGGTAACTCTAGTCGATAAGCTTGTTTTCCGATACGCTCCAATACTTTGAACGGACCAATAAATCGTGGACTTAACTTACCTTGTTTTCGGAATCGAAGCACACCTCGCCAAGGAGAAACTTTCACCATTACCATATC